GTTTTAGGGTTTATTTCGGGTTTAGGGTTCATTTAGGGTTCAGGGTGTATTTAGGGTTTAGTTTAGGGTTTATTGATGGTTTAGGGTTTAGGGTTCATTTAGGGTTTAGGGTTTAGGGTTTAGGGTCTGTGTTGGGGTGACAGGAAGGGGGCTGTGTTTCGAATGAGGTGTCAATCGAACATGATGGCCAGTGCTCGAAATTCTTCTTGCTTCTGGCACCATACTATAGCAGTCTTAATTAGTAGCAGTATCCCCTCATACCCCCTAGAAAAGTATGATAGAGCACCATGTGCCCCTCAACCCTGTTCCAATAGCGCTATTCAATTCTCGTGTCTGGCTCCGTGTCTGGAGAGCCCCCCCCCACACCCCAAACCGCTAGCTAGACTAGGTTCCTGTGCAGCCTGAAACTAGGTTTCCATAGTTGAGGCATGTATACATATATATATATATATGTGCACATGTACTTGCTTATAAATGTATGTATTTGTTGTACTGCATGTACGGATGTATTTATTTAGGTTTATACATATAACTAAACGTCGGGACATTGCCCTGTGCGTTGCTTCCTTGGGTAGCTTAACAGGAAGACAGCAAGCCTCAAACCGGAAAGTCAGACCTCAGGTAGAGCCGTACTGGAACCAAGTATGGTCTTGAGCAGGTCTCTCGACCCATCCCGACTCGTACGTGTAGTAGCTGACGCAGTTGTAACGCCGAATGCCCAACAAATCACACAAAGCCATCCAATTCGGCTGTAAAGTCACATGCAAAGCACAAAGACCTAGCAAACCGCTGCGAAAATGTTTGCCAGCGGAACGCAAGCGCCATAGACTGTATATACACCTCCAACCTCAGCCTCTGCACTGTGAACCTGAAGACACTAAGCGCTCAACCGTAAAAAGCCTGCTGCCAAACCCCATCAGCTAAACCCCTCAATCCTTGATTCGACATCCCTACACCCAAACCCCTGTAACCCTAAACCCTAGACCGCCTATACATGACCCCCGTAAACCCAGCAAGAATTCAGCCGAAACCTTAAACTCTCAATTCGTAAACCCTGAACCCTCACTCCGATCCCCCCCCCCATGTAGACCCTAAGCCCTAAACCCTAGATCCTAAGCCCTAAGCCCTAAATCCCTAGATCCTAAATCCCCTAAACCCTAAACCCTAAACCACATAAAAGAATACGCAGACAAAGGATCGCTTCCCTGGAGCCCTGGTTGCGCAAGTCAAGGTAGCCTCAGATATGGGGATTTCCGAAAATAGGGGACCCCAGTATAGTACCCGAAATAGTAGGATCCCTATTTTAAGGACCCCCAAATAAAGTACCCCTTATATTCGAAAACACCCATATGTCTCGGGGTCTCTCCGGGGCTTGGGGGTCGAGGATTTTGGTCTTTCGGTCTCGGGGGAGGTAGGGTCCCTCTAGAGGTTTAAGGTTTAGGGTTTCTTTAAAGGGATCCTTAAA